TGTCGAATGCTTTCCAGTGCCTCCTTTAACTCGTTTCGGAGTATCTCATTAAGAAGGGAGAGATGCTCTTTCACTTCGAAATTTGTGCCTTCTTTTTGGATTGCGCTTTGCCACTGTTTCCAACGGTGGACGAACGGCTCGAAGGGTGACCTGAAATTAAGTTTTTCTTCGTCCAGGTCCAGACCAGGATATCCTCGTAACACTTCCTGGAGAGCCTTCTTGATGAAGGGACTTTGAACAACGATAGAATGGATTTTGGTTTTCCTCTTGATTCCTTCAGACTCCCGATTTAGTTGGTTGCGCACTATAACTGCCGCGCCGTCTTTTTTGTCTTCGGCTTCAGCCACCCTCATGTCGAATGGAATTTGATCAACCCAGTTAATGCACTGGCTGTATTCACTCTTTCCTTCATAGAGGTTATAAGACTGGCACAGCATGCCTGGCTCAGTATTTGTTTCGTTGTCATTCTCGTGATTTCCTGGGCTTTCCGACAAATCCGCGTCATCTAAATCTGTCGCAACATTCTCATTCGAGGTTTCTTGTGGAACTTCTGCCTGCACTTGCGGTTTTGGCTTTGAAGAATGGTCGGATGGAATCTGTAAAGGTGATTTCAGGTCTGTCTTCGACGTTTCAGAAGTTGGCGTCTTGTTTCTATCCGCCTTCTCCACATCGTCGTTGGTTCCGTCATCTTGTTTGTAGACAATTTTAGATTCTCCGCTTGCGCTGTTACTGATGATATCGCTGATCATGTTGTGAAAACTTTGATTGAAAACCTCATAGTCTTGGCTCGGACTGGACGTGCCCTGCTCCATGGATATAGAGATGAAGGATGAAGTAATTAGACACAGAAGATTTTTCGTATGAAAGAGTATTAAGAGGTATGGGTAAGCCTTTAAAAAATGTTAAACAAGCTTTAAAGCTGGTGGAGATGAACAGGCGGGATAAAGACGTTGAGGGGAGTGGAGGACGCCTTCGAATGCCGAAGGCTATTAAACCACCAACCAAGTCTAGCCAGGTATTCCAGCTTTCACTAGTTAGGGAATGAGTATCTGATAATGCATAATTCTCGCAATCCGATGCTTGCCCCGAATAAAATTGGGTTAGTTGGAATCACGTAGCATATTCGCATCAGTGTGGCCTTCCTTTACTGGCTATTGAGCGACGAATTGAAGTAAACCACAAATACTAGTACTTGGTTAATACGAGAAGCGTCTATTTTTAAGCGTGTTCTTATTCTATTGGTTTTGCTTGCTTTCGGGCAGCAGTGCAGACATAGATCAACATCAGCTCGTATTCTAACCAAAAATATATTTTTCACATGCTATCAACTTCACATATTATGCTCAACCGCGCACATTCTCCCAACAGAAAAGATCATGGAAACACAAATTGCATTTCTGATAAAATTATTGCCCTGTTCAACATTCTCCTTTTCACCAATTTTATGTCGTACCTACCTTGCAGAACTCGACCGACTCCCAAAGTTCACCGCCCTTGATGAACCCCCTGAGAGCATCAGCGATGGAAACGAAACCCCTATTGAATTGAACGGAAATGTTTTCTCAGTGCCTTCGGCTGTCCACAAAGCATTGGAACAACTTCGATATGTAGACGAACCAAGATACATCCTACCAGGAGGGGTTCTCGGACGAGAGACTGGCATGTACAGAAACAATCACATATTGCGCCAAATCATCGATCGGGCAGAGTTCATTGCAGCCTGGGATTATTGCCGCTGCGGGAATCGAGAGGCGGGTTTCAAAATCTATCCCACACCATCGCATCACAAAATCATCGAATGGCCTAGCTGCAAACCACCTAAGACATTGGTTCTATTAAGGCCATCGAGGGATCCCAACGCCATCATTGACTGTAAAACAGTCAACATCCTACCTTCAGGCTATCCGCGGTTTACCATTGTTTTCAAAGACAGCACTTTGACCGAGACCAATATCTGCAATACCAACACACATAACATCATGGTGTTTCAGGACAATCGTATCAACGAGATCCGAAGCAGCACACTAGACAGCAGTATCAAACTAGATGGCCAACAAGTTCGGGTACACCAAACAACAGCTGATACGTTACGAGAGTTAAGGCGCAGCGTGGAACGATATCTTTTTTGGGTTCCATCCAGCGTTGAACGTATATCACCGAGGTCCTTAACGGCAAACATTGACTATGTGGTTTCTATCATTGGGATGTCTTTTGGCCCCAGATTTCCTTCCGGAAAGGCAACGGTATATTACCGACCTCTCGCTATGGCTCAGAACGCTGCATTCCAGTATTACAGGCCTCTTTCACTGTCTGAAGCATACGAATCAATACGCTTACTGGGACTACCGTCAAGGAAGGAGCAGCCACTGACCCAAGCCGAGCCACAATACCGTCTACATCATATTTCGCTCAATGATTTGAATGTTCCTGAATACACCGTTCTCAAATTTCTTGGACCTAAGACTTTGAAAAGAAATGAAACTGCTCAAATCATAATCGACAGGCACTTGTTTCTCGGACCAAGCCATTTGGGGAAAGCGTTGGAGCAGTGTCGAAGTGACGACAGATCTACTTATCTCTGGGTGGACTTCATATGCTGTAACCAGCTAGATACGCAGGAGGTCCGCCATCATTACCGTCTTCTGAAACGGATCCAATCGCAAGCGCTTAGCGTAAAGCTGGAACGTGCGTCAATTATGGTGACGGACTTCCAATATTGTCGTTTAAACCCCCAGAAACAAGAGATTCGTATTTTGGTACTCAGCCCAAACAATGGCTCTCTAGACTCCCCCGTTCGTGGCCGACTTGTAACGAGAAGTTTAGAGAATCGACCCAATTATCTTTGCTTGTCATACACATGGGGCAAACAAGACTCGAAGAAATCAATCTCGTTGGATGGTTATCGGTTCCCCGTCGGGGAGAATCTTTCATCGGCGCTCCATCAAATTCGCAGGCGAGACGAAGAAATCAAAATTTGGATTGATGCGATTTGCATTAACCAAAACGATATCCCAGAGCGTAACAGTCAGGTGGAAATGATGGGTCAAATATATTCTGCCGCGAAGAAAGTCCTAGTATGGTTGGGTCCAGCCGCCGAAGATTCCGATTTAGTTATCGACTTTTGGCAGGATCTAGGAAAAGACGAGCTTTCTTTGGAAATTGGCCCACACGATTGGGGTCGCATCTTTGACAGCTATATCACAGTTGGAAGAAAACGAAACTCAGAACTTCAAACTGTTGTGGATCAACTTCTCGACACCTACTCGGTAAGAATCTTACCAGCCTTTGGATGCCTTAAGGAGGCTATCAAATGCATGGATAGCCGTTCGTGGTGGAAGCGATTATGGGTATTCCAGGAAGTTGTACTAGCGTCTGACCTGGAGTTACTCTGCGGTACAAAACGAATAAACTGGGAGGTATTTGATCGCGCTCAACAAATAATACAGCTATGGCTTCTCAAGATAAACAACGACATGGACAACGACATGAAAAACATAGGACGCCCACACATCTCCCCTGTCAGCAGTAATCTACGCGATTATCGAGTCAGGTGGCACAAATCTATATGGGAATCTGTCGATAAGCTACTCTGGACTTTGGGTAGCCTTTCCGGGCGTGATGCTAGCGAAGACCGAGATCGAGTATACGCCCCACTCGCCCTTATTCGCGACGAAATTCCGAGTCTTAAGCCAGATTACGACAAGTCGACTATAGACGTCTACATAGACTTGGCAATCGCTCTTGCGAAGCGAACTGGACATTTCGTGTTCCTATACCGCAGTGGAGCTTCTCCAAAGCCATTACTCGGCATCCCTTCTTGGGTTCCGAGATGGGATTTACCAGAAATTCCGGATTTAAGAATGGATCGAAAGTCCCCTTCCATTTTTGATCCACTTCAAAAAAATGATGATTCAATTCAGTTTTACGCGTGCGGCGATTGTCCAGCAATCTACAACTTAATTTCGAATCGGAGAGTGCTTGTCCTACACGGCGTGGAAGTGGATACTATTTCAGTGGCCCTGCAACCAATACCGGATTCTCTAATAAATTCCTCGGCATATTATGAAACATTCGATAAATGGGAAACAGCAACCTGGGACGCTTACGACGAGAGAGAACAATATGTCGGGGGCGGTGATCTTGTGACCGCTTTTATGAGCACAATTTTCGATTATGTTCTTGAAGTGGAGAGTGCCACCGTTGAGGAACACGTATACAACTTCATGGCTTGGAAAAGATATCGCAACAGAACAAATGTGGCACCAGCATCTGCAAATGCCCCAGACTTTATAGATTCCATCCCTTTACGGCTCCTAAGTGCGATTTCGAAGAACCTCATATTTTTTCTAACAAGGAGAGGTTTTATTGGCACTTGCATGGATAGGGAAGGAGTCGAGCCTGGTGCACGCGTGGTGGTTGTTAAAGGTGGAACGAAGCCGATTATTTTGAAGAAAGTGCTAAACGGGGAAGTATTCATTGCCGAGGCGTGTAAGTCTACGATGTTTTTGAAGTCCTCAAGAGATCCCGGTCAGCTAATTAAAACTCATAGATGTTCATGGCCTCATGTATGGTGAGGCCATGAAGGGTTTACGAGAAGGTCAGTATAAACTTCAAGAGTTTCCTTTGGTTTGATTTTACACGAGAGATCTGTCACCAAAGAAACGTTGTATGTGTCTGAGATAGGAGTTGTTTGAATGGCTCCGCCTTTGTAAAACATCAACTCTTTATTCAAGCCTTCCTTTATTTCTATAATCAAAATGCGTTTCTGCTTTGTATACATACCCCTGCTCCGTTGTCGCTCCAACGCACCAGTGTTCTACTCCTGTACCAAACATACAACACATAGCATTCGACATCCACGTCCACCGTCGCATACAACCGGGGGGGATCCTTCGCCAAGCAGATCTGTCTAAAAACACTACAGTGAGGACGCATATGGGCTCTTTGTGATTATAAAGCAGTTTGCAGGACTTAGAACATCTGCTGCAGAGAAGCAAATATGCAAAGGTACTTAATGAAGCCTGAATGGAGTTTGTACTTGTCAGTATCAGATTATCAACGTAAGCAATGTTGCTCGCGAGACCGTCCAGGGCGGGTGATATCTACTTACGTCTTATCCTCTCTCAGCGCCGAGTTGATTGGCTTGAAAAGAATTTCCCAATGGTGAATCTCCAAAGTCAGTATCCTTGATCGCAATCCTCCGCCATCTGGATATTCCAGTATTCAGGTTGAACATTCATCAGGGGCACCCTTTCCACTGAAAAGTTGGTAGAAGACCCGAGCAGCATCAGAAGCGACCGCTGGTGTCTCCACAGGGTCGGAACAGTTTGCTTTGCCAGTGTCTCAACACATTTGCAGAGTGCCACCCACCACAGTCGGAAGCATGACGTGGCGCAGGGTCGTCGGGAATGTAGGAGTCCAACCGACCGAAAGAAGACGCGGTCGGCGAGGACTGAGGTGTGGGTGCGAGGTGAGAACGGATACTGCGACCGTTGCCAAAACGTCCTGTTTTAAGTTAGCGACGGCACCTGCTGATGATGCTGGAGCCGGTGTCGTATGCCAGACCGCCGTCCTGCTGCCGGCGGGGCAGAAGATCAGTGAGTCAAAACCAAAGCCTGACGCCAGGCTCCCACCCTGCTCCTAGCATAGCGACTTCAAGTGCCATTATCGTCGACGTCCTAAGCTAGACTGGCATTACCATTGCGTGATGTTGTGTCGGAGAGGGCATGTGGCACGACAAACGAGAGCGTGCCGCTGGCCGGAGAGAGGTGGTTGCGCGTTGCTGTCCAAGATCATTGCCTTCCGATGCCCAAAGCATTTGGAGGAAGACGATCTGTGCTGCACGCCGCCCTCGCCGTCCGGCTGACATCGAGTCTTTTCGCAGCCGTGTGACCCAAGCATGACTCCCACTCCCAGTGTGTATGCCAATGTATTCCAAGCCGCGGAAGACCTGCAGCGATCTCGGAGACTGTGTCGGAGCCGCCGGAGGAGCAGAGGGCGTATGTGGCTGTCATGGCATGCTGCCGTCAACCATGCGGCTGGCCAAGAGCTGCTGTCATGGTCGAAGAGGGAGATCCTTAGGCCGATGACGTTGCTGCGGTCGCGTCGGAACCAGCCGGCGCCAGGCTGGAGGTCGACGGCTGCGTCGTCGCCATTGGCTGGCAGGAGCAGGACCAGAGGTCAAAGAAGTTATCGGATCGGAGTGTGCTGCAGTCGGGCTGGAAGCAAGTTGTCAGTGGATATGCAGAGATGCGGAGCTGCGGAGATGGTTAGGTGCCGCCCGCCATGGCGCGAGAAGGTCAAGGCTGGTGTCGTCGTCGTCGCATCAGGTCCTGATCATGGCAGTAGCGGAGGCGGAAGTCGGCATTGGCTTGCCTGCCGCTCCAAGTCGACGTGTCGATGAAGTGCATCGTTGCTGGCGCCGTGAAAGGCTGCTCGAGGCCGGAGATGCTCGAGGCTGTACGGCGAAAATTGAGCTCCCTGCACCCGCCAGGCTGCCCTGCCGCACCCCGCGCTTGCAACTTCGCTGGTGCCACCTCGCACCATCGTCGTGTTCTGTACCCGTCGGGGGGCTTCTTGGCTTGAGGGGGATCTGCAGATGCTGCCCTGCAGCAGCAGTGCAACGAAACGAGATCAAAGGTGGGGGGATCACAGGCTACAGCACCAACATCGCGAGGGAAGGCGCGCCCTCCTCTTCTTTCTATCCTGCCATCCAAATCTTTTTGCCGCTCATATGCCCGCACGCTTCCTTGCCCTGTCAACTGTCATAGCGGCGTGACCTGCAACTGGTTTCGCTCAGGTCAGGTTGGTTAGCATGTGACTTTTCACAAGCAATGTCTTCACAAGCATGGTCGAAAACCAAGTCCAGTTAGAGAGCAATTTCAATCAATAACTTTCAACTTTCTCCGTCCCACGTAACAAGTCACAACATCACGCAAAAGCTCTGCTTACATCCTATAGAATCGATTAATGATTCCACTTCAACCCATGATTAATTGGTACTAGCTCGTAACGGTCCCGATAGACAGCGTGGATGCTTGCAAATACTTAGACAATAACATCAAAAGTGGAATCCGTCACAATCGCCCTTCCACGGTCTAGAATGGCCTGATCGAACCTCTGCTGATCGAACAAGCTAGTGTTAAGTCCCGCATCATAACCCGCCTTCGATATCACCAACGTCTTTCCGTCACCATCCACGTCCTGTTCAAAGCTGATCATCATTACGCGGATCACTTTGCGAGAAAGCATTAGCAGCCACATTTACGCCCTGCCACTGGAGTACAAGCACCAACCTTGTGTATCCAAAGGACCCTGGCGTAACGTCATCGGAAAAGTCAACCCGAACCGACGTACTTTGGTCAGTTGGTCTTGGCCGAGCACCAACGTCTCTGCCATGTATCTCTCAACGATCCGCATCCTCTCTTCCAAGCCTTCGGGGAGACTTGGTCCAAGAAATCGTCGGATAGCAAGCTGGTAGACAAGCTTGTCGTGATGGTATTCACCAGTGAGCTTTACATTTTGGCCTGCCTCGGAGAAATCTCGAACATTCATCATCCTGGAAGCGAGATATTAATCACGGTTAGCTACAAATGGGCGTCGGCGTTGCTCACCAAGGAGTGATTCTAGCCAGGTGATCTAATAATCGGGGACGATATGCAGCTCGATCCCAGCTTGCCTGAAGGCCTTTGTCGTCAAATCCAAGGTTGCTCGAGACTGTGTTTTCGATTCTGGTCGCCCAAAAGTGGAGCGTGGTCCAGAGGCCCACCAGGCGGGTAGCAGGATTCTCTGCTGAGATGGGATTGAGATAGAAGATTGATTGAGGGTCATTTCCTTCCTTGACGCTGCGGACAAGATTGTCGGCAACTTCTACGCTTGGTTGGTCCTGCGCAACGATGGAGGTCATGCTGGGTAGAAGATGGAGCTTCTTGGGGTAAGTTCTGGCTTGGAACACATCAGCGATTCGGGGGCTATAAGTCTAATCACAAACCCGCTGTCTTGCCATGTGGGACAAACGACCCCTCAGTTATGACAAAAATTCAGAGCGGAGCAGAAATATCTTTGCTACCTTCGTACTACGCTACGGGAGGGGCTTTCTCCTCCTTCCCCTTATACGCAGCTATGCACCGGATCGGAATGTTTCGCAGTATCTCTATTAGGGTTATCTGCATGAGGGGTTTGTGCGGCATGAACGCAGCTTCACGCAACATCATGGACCCCGCATCGATTGCCGGTATGGCAAGGCAATAGTCTGTCCCAAAGCTCGGTGGCATATTATAAATTTCCCCCGCTCTCTTCCCGGTTCGTGTTACTTTGCATCACCTCTTACAGAAGAAAACCTGACGAGTAGCTAACTAGTCAGTTAATGCCAAGTTTCCCGTGAGGAGACTTGATTGTTGGCATGGTAGTGCAGTCGAAGTCTATAAAGTTCACCAGACGCTCTGCCCTGCTCCTCCATCTCAAACCATCTTCTCATCTCACAACGAGTTCCAACCTTGCAAAGTCGAAAGCAGAGGCAACATTCCTCTTTCCCCAATCCATAATCATGCCCGAACCCGTTGACCTCGGCAAACTCGTCGACCTGAACCCAGGTCTCGGGCCCCAGCCGCCCATGACCTACGATGGCATCATGGAAGCTGCTGGCAGGTCTACTCTTTCAGACAAGGAAATTGCTGAAAAGGCCAAAGAGGAATGGGATAGCTTCCCGTCCATCTGGTTCTGCAACTTCCCCGACCAGCCTTCCACTTCGATGCAGCAGCGGCTGGCGGAATACATGCAAGACATCAAGGACTACCGTAGCTGGGCAAGCCTGATCTGGTGGCGCACCGTCTTCAGTCATCCCGACATGCCGCAAGACTCCAGCATGCAGTCCCGTATCCGACGAAGTGCTTATTGCGCCAGAGTCGGCGTGCACCACATGAAGACCACGCCATGGTACGTAGGAAAACCACTCCGGCTTTTCCCCCTTCCCGGACAGAATCACTAAATGCACAATTACATAGGCTTTCAATCAGCCGAGATGTCAACCATTCCAAGATTATCGAATGCCGCGTCGAAGAGTTTCACGGCGAGCTCATTAGGGCCGTCTTGGCTGGGTTTGTGGGCGTGAATGCACGAACCATTGAAGCCCTGGAGACAGTCCTGAAGAGCATGACCAAAACAATCGAGCAGAGTTCCGGAGAGGCAATGAACAAAATGATTGCGTGCGAGCGGTACGAGTACATCCGCCAGTCCGACACGGTCAGATCTTGTAAGCTGCCTGCTCCCTTCAAACGTCTTTTCTTTGAACAACTTTGAAACTCTTCTTCTGACAATGCACGCTTGTCTTTGCAGTCGTTCGCCTGGTCAGTTTCGCCGTCACCCAGAGCATGCGCCAGGTCTCAAGGGCAAAGCAAACTTCGTCTTGGGTCCGCTGCACTATCGACTACAATGACTACGAGGCGGGCTTTAACCGCTCCATGTGGCAGCGCTCGAAGGAACTGATCCATGAGCAGCAGATGAAGGAGATGGAGGACTTTATCAACGAGTCTACTGTGGATATTCCCCCTTGAGGAAGTTATTGGCAGTGATCGGTCGCAAAGGAGAATCTTAACGTCGCTCTTGTGTAGCGAATTGTCTTGGTTTTAATGTCTCGGGTGCTCATGCGTTTTTACAAAGTCTCTTATCTCAAATACATGATTAATTGTTTCTCTACGAAGCTGAAGAGCTGCCGTTTGAGCCGGAGTGGATGTACACACGTTTAGGGGTTGATGTTTTTTGTGCAAGCTGTTCGTAAGAGTATGAGCCTCCTGCTTGACATCTTTGAGATCACTTAGGCGCTTAGGTACTTGAATAGACAGAAAGAAACTGGAATCGACCGGCTAAACAAGTATGTGTTTGTTGTTTGATGTTTGCAACGTACAAGGAAGTGTCTCGAAATATAAAGATATTTAAATTACAAACATTCTTATGTACGGCCGATCTTTTCCTCTCGTTTCAGGATAAACCCCAGTTTGCTTGACAGGTACTTCTTGAGATGGAGGAGGGAGAGAAAGTGATCTAGGAAGCGAGCTAAGAGAACAAACTATGCATATCGTTCGCCTGGTACCGGCATCTCTACGGGACCATTGGTAAAGCAACAGTGTCCAATACGCGATCCTTCCTCCTCATTTTCCAGAAGCCCCTGCGGTATGGCGCCCCATTGTAAGGGCTTCGTCTCGTCGAAGTTACCATCCGATGATTTTGGAGGATGGCACGCAGCTAAAATTGCGGCGCTGCAACTCCCAACCAGCGGCATACCCGGCTTCAATCTTTTCATTGATAGCGCAAGCGTCGCCACACTGATGCACACGCCAACTACGAATGTAGTCATCATTGCGATCGGGTTTAGCGCGCATATGGACAACGGTGGATGTGGGATTGGATCCCCAAAGTCGTTTGAAGGCTCAATAAATACGGGAAACAAGGTCTGTGACGCCAGCATGTGCATAAGCCCAAATGAGCCCTGTAATGGCACCGCAAAGCGCCACGGTAGCTGAAAGAGGAATGTGCCGCGTTCTTGGGTGTGTAATCTCGGGTCGGAGACGCGAAGGCCTTTACGGTGGAAGGCGTACTCGCTCCATTCAGCAGCGAGCCGCATTCGGGTGATTAGATTAATGGTAGTAAAGGCGAGAACGGTAATGGTAAGCTGTGATAAGTTGGCTGTAATGGCAGGGCCAACTGCGTCATGGGATGCCCTTGATTGAATGCCGGACTGATGACCAGGTTTTCGGCAGTGATTTTTCGAAAAGAAAAGTAATTGCTGAGTTCACCCAGCTTCCGGAAATGCATGAGCCCATTAATGAGGAACCCGATAGCTAGTCCAAGGATACTGCCGTATCTGTTTTGGGTTTGTTAGGGCTGAATCTCGTCTTAACCCGAAAAAGTTCTTACGTGAGAGACCACATCCACCAGGCTCGCCTACCTGCGCCATTGTAATAACGTAGCGATACTGGCTTGTATGGTATAGCAGCAGGTTGTTCTTGAGCTTCAACTGCCTTCGTCCAGATGCGTTGAATATCGTATCTCGTTGCGAGACAGTATCCACGGGTGGTATCGTCGGGAGAGCGTATGAAAGATGATATGGCATTACCTAAGGTAACCAGTAGTTTGTCTCGAAGCAAACCCCACACTGATAGTATGCAGATGAGCTTGCCAAAGTTTAATATTAGAATAGTGATTGCGACTGGGCGGCTAAACATGATTCTGTAGCGTTCCTCGGCGATTGTTTTGCTCTAGCATCCCGTTATAGTGGCGTTGTTTGCTTTCTAATTATCTACGGCGGCGGCTTTTTTAACTTTATCAAGACTTTGAAGAGCGTTGAAGGCATGCATCTAGCGCCATCTATTTTTAGGCTTGGCCTGCTTAGACTAACTATTATACTTGTAATCGACGAACGGAATAAAGTAATATACTAGGATAGAGTTATTTTAGAGAATTAGAAAGGTAGAGATGTTACTATCGTCGTCTTAATCCCTCTAGCTGCCTGGTAAGTTCTTTAGTAATAAAATAACGTTGCTTCTTTCCGCTATAAAGTCTTTCCTATATTCTTCTATATATTAAGCACTCGTAAGGTACTCGAATATTATCCTATTCGAAATGTAGTCGGCTTAGATATCCGCTACTTTAGGCGAAAAACTTATTAGGTCTATTCCTGTTAGGCTTTTCGATATGTTATTAAATCTTAACCCTAACCTAGATGCCCTAATCTATAATTAATTGAGTTAAGTTAAGTTAAGTTGTATTTATTTACCCTAACCTATCGCCCTGAGCGATATGTAGGCTACGACTATTTAAGAGTTTTGCTACTAGTTTACATGTGATTTGTTAATCTGGGAGGAAAAAGGAAGGTAACGGGAGCGGATAGTAGGGTAGGAGGGGATAGTAGTATAGAGGTTCTATGCTATAGGATTGTCTCTATTCTTAAACCGTTGTGAGTCTTATGCAAAGTTAAGTACAGCCTGAAGCTGTGATGCTATTATTCTCTAATGATTATCTTTACTCTGGGTAGCTGCGGTATTGCTTAGTAGCTTTCCGCCGAGTAAGGCTGATAGGCTATTCTTTTCTAGTCTACTATCTTAGAGTATCTTCTGTCGGCTTTCCTAAAGTAGAGAGTAGTTAAGGAGAACGTAGGAAACTAATTCGACTTCTCCGTATTTATATTAATCGTTATTAATCCGACCTATTCGTGTGCGGTATTAGTTAAGCTAGTAGTAGCCGGTTCGTAGCTAGGTAAGGAGGCTAGCCTAGCTCCGTAGGAGCTTATCGTATAGGTGCCGGGTATAAGGGCCTGGCGGTACTGTATTAATACTTTGAAGGTGTTGTCCTTTATCCGATTTCTCCTATTTAGCTGCCTAGGTTGTATATATTGCGTCCTTAACTGCTCGGAACTAAAGTGATATTAGTAGCTTAAAGCTATATTCTCTAAGGCGTGTAGTCGTAGCTTTGGCTAGTTTATCTGCTTCTTCGTTCCCTTTAATCCTACTGTGGCTGGGAACCTATTATAGAGAGAAACTAATCTGATAGTTATCTCTAATGTACCGGGCTATTTCTATAATAGATCGGACTATTCCTTAGCCTAATCGCCGCTTGCGTAGGTTCGCTAGTACTTATAGGGCTGCCTTGGAATCGCTATAGATTATGTAGGATGTTAGATTTAGGTTATCGTCTTCGAGGTTTTGCTCTACCGCTAGTTCTATGCCGGTGTTAATAGTAATTAGCTCGGCCGCTGTAATGCTATAGAACTTGCTAGAGCCGATTCCTTTCTGTGCTTGTCTATAGATACTTTACTCTCTTTTGAGGATTACTGTAGCTGCTCCGAGCTGTCCTTTTACTTTAGATGTATCTGTAAAGATTCGTGTAGCCTGATTTAGTAGTAGTTCTTTCTTAAAGGCCTCTAAAGTTTCGGTTTTAGGTAACTATAGGTGAATACTCTTAAGCGGCGTTGGCTTCTATGG